AGTCTCCGAAATCATTCAGTTCTCTTTGACTCTATTCTATAATTCAAAATTGAACCACAGGCTCAGCCCAGATTCAAGGAGGAAAGGAACTACCCAAGGACCTGAATATTAAAAAGCATAGTTCTTTGGAGTAAGAGGAAGGTCTTTGGAGAATATCAACCATATCCACGTCTCCAATCCCATTTTCCAGTATATTCCCTATTGGTGCTTCCACTTTAGCCACCCTGGCCTTCTTCTAACTCCTTGTATTCACCATACTCCATCCTCCTGAAGACTTCTGTATACACAGTTTTCTTAGTCTAGAATGTTTTTCCAATACCCTTTTTGCCAAGTTCAACTTTGAGACCAAAGAAAGTCTCAATCAAGTCTCAGGAAAGCCTTTCCTGTCTTCCTAACCACGTTAAATCATTTTATTATATAATTTCGTGGCACCGGATAAATTTCAGGCACTGTCCTTACCCCCACTGCACTTTGAATTTGTTCAAATGATTATGTAATTTATGTCTCTATATCCCCCACTAGACTGGAAAGGGGCCATATCCGTTTTTCCCATCCTATCACAGAGCTTAGCTAGTACGCCAACATTTATTTGCTGAATGAATGGCAGAAATAAACTAAGTAAATAAAAAGTCTCTGTATAACAATTCCTTTAGAATTACAGTGAAGTAGATAATCACATTCCCTATTAAATACATGGATAATTAGACAACCGCAAATATAAACCATTTTTCACAGAGTAAGTCTCATCTATAATATAAGGGTCATATTCTCTTGCTATATCCTACTTATAAAAATAGCAGATGTATAAAGAAATCAATTAAATATAGCCAAATTATGTAAGTTTTGCAATATTTCTTCTAATCTCTTTTCAATGTTTTATTTATATCTGAGAGAGAGCGAGAGAGAGAAAGAGAGAGAGAGAGAGAGAGAGAGAAAGAGCATGATCAGGGGAGGGTCAGAGAGAGAGAGAGAGATACAGAATCTGAAGCAGGCTCCAGGCTCTGAGCTAACTATCAGCACAGAGCCCGACGCGGGACTCGAACCCACGAACCGTGAGATCATGACCTGAGCTGAAGTCAGACGCTTAACTGACTGAGCCACCCAGTTGCCTCTTTCGAATCTTTTTTCAAATGAGCCTAAATCTGTCTTTGATTTTAATCTCTATGCTTTAACAAAAGCTGACACATATACCAAATGGAGTATTCTAATCACAGCAGAGGTGGTCTACTCTGTGCAGGAATCCAATACTGACAGTAAAAGACCACTAGAAGCATTCCATTTAGAAACCCAAGTGGATTGTTACACAGACCAGACATGATTCTCACTGTGCTAAAACCAGATGTAGAATACTGCTTCCCACCACATTATCAATAACTTGTCTATGAATAAACACTTCACCAACTTTCAACTTAAAATGGAATATTTCATCTTGGAGTGAGAGCTAACATTCCTATTCTTAGATGGTAACACAAGCAGCAAAGGATTTGATTAGAGATAATCGCAAATTATGGCTCTTAACTAGAAAAAAAAAGTCTGCATAATTATGAATGGTATCATAAAACAAAGTTCATTATCAAAAAGTACACTCTTTTCTGGTCTTTTGAAGCCCAACCTTCAACTCTAATTCTTTTCAACTACTAAACAGATCTGGCCTAGCAACAGAGTGTTTCCTACAATACAAATAATTAGCCATTGTGTTTATTTATTATGTCTTCCCACTTCAACATGGGCTCCAAGAAGGGACAGGTTTGGTCAGTCTTGTTGACCTGGAGTTGTCTCTGGCACATCATGCTGCCCGATGAAGCACTGAATGAGTAAAAGCACTGGTGTTCTAGAATTAGATCTTGTGTATTCCTTAAAATATATATGAAGATGCTTATTTGTTATTTAAGAAAAGATATTCTGGGGCGCCTGCGTGGCTTAGTCGGTTAAGCGTCCGACTTTCGCTTAGGTCATGATCTTGCGGTTCGTGGGTTCGAGCCCCGCGTCAGGCTCTGTGCTGATTGCCAGCTCAGAGCCTGGAGCCTGTTTCAGAGTCTGTGACTCCCTCTCTCTCTGACCCTCCCCTGCTCACGCTGTCTCTCTCTCTCTCTCTCTCTCTCCTAGAAATAAACAAAACATTAAAAAAATTAAAAAAAAAAAAAAGAAAAGATATTCTGACAAAAATTCCAATACATAAAATGTTTTCACTTCTTGCTTCCTAGGTATTATGTCCATGAAATTAGTGTTTCAGGGACACCTGGGTGGCTCAGTCAGTTAAGTGCCCAACTTCGGCTCAGGTCATGATCTCACAGTTTGTGGGTTCGGGCCGCATATTGGGATCTGTGCTGACAGCTCAGAGCCTGGAGCCTGCTTCAGATTCTGTGTCTCCCTCCCTTTCTGCTCCTCCCCCACTCACACTCTGTCTCTCTCTTCCTCTCAAAAATAAATAAACATTAAAGATTTTAAAAAAAGAAATTAGTGTTTCTAATTACCTAACCTGTCTTATCCATAAGTTACAAAAAGAAATTATATTCTACCATAAGGCAAAAAGAAAGCTTTTAGCTAAATCAATTGTTAAAAACAAGACAAAAGTACCAAAATGGAGCCACTTAAGCTAAGCTCCAATCACCAAAGTGAGACTTAATTACACTTTTGGCCATTTCCAGAAATGGAATCTTAAAGTGAATCAGGAACTGCCCAATCAGCACTAGTGAGGTCATCTGCCTGATAGACCCCTGCCATCCCATAAAGGAAAGTGGTCCTCCCACAACCAATCCACTTTTTGCCAGTATAACTTCCTTGTTCCCTCTCCCTTCTGCCTATAGAAGTCTTTCATTTTGTACAGCTTTTTGAAGCCCCTTTCTATCTGCTAGGTGGGATGCTGCTCGAGTCATGAATCATTAAAATAAAGCCAATAAGATCTTCAATTTTTTTAATGTTTGTTTATTTTTGAGAGCGAGAAAGAAAGTATGAGCAGGGTAGGGGCAGAGAGAGAGAGAGAGAGAGAGAGAGAGAGAGGAAGACACAGAATCTGAAGCAGGCTCCAGGCTCCCCGCTGTCAGCACAGAGCCCCATGTGGGCTTCATGACCTGAGCCTGAGTCAGATGCTTAACTGACTGAGCCACCCAGATGCCCCAAGCCAATAAGATCTTTAAAATGTACTCAGTTGAATTTTGTTCTTTAATACATTGAATTTCTTCGGTTATTAAGTTATCTGGAATGAAACTTCTTTTTCTCAGTGGCTGAACTGGAAGTTGCACCTTATTGTGTATTATGAGGGGCTTTATCAGATTAAACAAATACATGGCAAATGATACAGAAGTCTACAAGCAGGTCCATGAGTATGACTATTTTTGTGGAATAATTTAGCCACTATGATTAAAAATACAAGAACAAAGATGTAAGACAGAGGGCATGAAACTCTGTCATAGGACAGTTGCTTAACTCCAAAGTTTGTCTTTTAATAAACTACAAATATTTTGCTTTAAAGGGTGACTTGATGAAGTTGAAACATTCATTTATAAGTGGTTAAACTTATTCTAGGCCATTCAATTTAGATAACAGGCATCACATGTTAATATCAAATTTGTGCATTAAAGGAAATCCCCCCAACTGGTCCCCCTGACACAAGTTTAATAGGGACCTACAAACATGACTTGCGGCTTTTCTGTAGGTGAGTCTCTGCTCCATTTTGCACCTTACTGCTCAACTCATTGATCACACTGAATTATTCACAGCTGAACATCTTTTTCCTTTATCCTGTTTCTTGTTGAGTGCGGATTAAGATCTAGATTGTTCCTTTTCAAGTTGTAATGCGTTAAGTGGAAATTTTAAACACTAAACAAGTTGAACCTGCTCCACAACAGCTCCAATTCCAGACTTGAACTTAGAAAAAGTTGTGTTACAAGAAACATGATCTGCTCATATTTTCAAAAGCATTAACATTTGTCTCCTTGGGTTTTTAAACTTGTCTCATATTCAGCCAAAAAGAGAGATGCACTTAAGCTAGTTTTCAAGTGCCATATTTGACCATTCATTACCCTAAGTGGTTTTTTAAAGTCTTGCCTTCCATTTTCTGTAAGTCCCGACTCCACCTTCTTTCTACTATAGAAATTGACTACAAGGCTTAGAACAAAGATCTTTGAATAGTTTGCTAAACAACCCCCCCTTACCCACACACACTTCTTTAGTCAGATCCTGCCACTGTCAAATTGTTTTTGATTCCATCTTGAGCAGTAAAATAATAAACAGAATTACATGCGGGATTAACTTGGGTTACTTTTAGAAGTACGTTCATTTCAATCTCACCTAAACATAAAAAATATTATATCTTCCTTTCTATTTTTCACCATTCACCATTGACATGAACACAGACTCCTTACTAAGAGGAGTAACAAGGAAGGGTAGGAATTTCAGACATATTAGGAATATTGATTAATTCTATTCCTTTTGGGGAGACAATTCCCTGATTGAACAGAGCTCTGGTGGAGGAAAAGTAGGAGATGCATATTTTTCAAGCTAAGCCCTTTCAAGGACAGATCCCAAGGTGAGCAGTACTAAGGGTTTCTCAGCAACCTGAAAGGATTTGTGAATGATTGTGAAAGATGTGCACCCCCTCCTGCTGCACTTCGGGCTGTTCTAAAACAGTAAAGCCCAGCCTGGGAAATTCATGTCACATCCTGCTCCCCTGGGCAAGAGGTGGTGAAATACACACACACACACACACACACACACACACACACACAGCGGGTAAGAAGGGGTGAAATACACGCGCGCGCGCACACACACACACACACACACACACCCTCACGCTCATACCCCACCCCACCCCACCCCACCCCACCAAAAGCCCTGCGGGGAAGCTCTCAGCCAAGCAGGCTGTGGCTTGGGAAGGCACAGTCAGCATCCCTCTCTCCCAGCCCAAGTGAGAGGCTCGCCTCCGCCTCGGAGCTAGAGCTCCCGGTCTTCAACATTCTAGGCTTTTCCTTACAAAGTAGAAAGGTCTGTGCTGGCCTTACCTCTGGGGCTGCTTTCCTGCAAGTACGGCGGGGCCGTGGGAGTGACATTTCCCGAATGGGATGCTGACAGCAGAGGCGAGCGTTCGTCCACCCCATCAGCAGCCATGACTGCAGCGGCGGCGGGGCCGGGGGGAGGCTAGGCCGGCGGCTGCGGCTCCCGCGGAGGTGGTGGCTACTGCCGCTGCCGCTGCTGCCGCTGCTGCCGCCTCCGGGAGGACCCGGGATGTGTCACAAGGCAGGAGGCGGGGGGAGGGGAGGGTGCGGGACCGAGAGGCGGGGGAAGGGAAGCGCGCCGGGAAGCCTGTCGGGGGGAGGGGAGGGGAGAGAGAAAGAAGGTGCCGGGAGAGGGGAGGAGTGGAGGAGGGAGGAGCGGGAGCCGGGGAACACAGTAGGGCTGCCCGCGAAAGGCGGGGAAGGGAAGGTGCGGAGCCTCCGAAAGGGGGGCGGGGGAGGAGAGAGAAAGGGGCTGCAACTCTTTCTCTCTTTGTACTTTACATTTCCTTAACTAAGGAGAAGAGGAAGAAGGGTCAAGAGCAACCTGAAAAGGGGAAGAGAACCGGCCTTGACTCGACTGCAGAAAAACTACAGCAAACACGGATCTCAAGTTTAGCTCCAAGAAGCGGGGGAGGAGGAGGGCTTCTGTGCTGTCCAACTTTGCAGCAGTTATGGGAAGAAAGCTTATTCCTAGGGTTGTCAGTTCCTTCTTGAGGGATGCTGCTGCTTTTGTTCGAAAATCACTTTTCAGTATCTAGGACGAAGTAAATTCCTGCAAGGTGCCATTCCTTGCTTGTGCTTGTTTTTTGGTATCTGCTTGGCACTCTCCTAACAGTATCTTACTGAAATGATGCATCGTGTGTTGGCTTTCACAAGTTTAATTTGACAAAATACGTTGCCCTCTTAGTTTTGTTTTTGAATTATATCGTCCCCCACACCTTATACAGTAATAAATATGATGAATAATGTAAAACAATTAAAAACTATTTTCCTTGAGCTAGTGCTTTCAAATAATCTTTCATATGTAAAAGTAAAAAAACAAAGCTACACATAGTTACAGGCATGCTTTTGTGGGGGGGTTTCTTCTCTTATTTTGGTGGTTTGCTAAAGTGGTTTAAAAATCAACGTTTTGAGTATGCCAGACAGAAATGCAATAGGAAAACAGTGGAAGTCTCAAAAGATAATTTTTCTGCTGTAATTCTTTGAGTCATTCAACAAACATGTATTATATGCTTACTGGGTCTACAAAGATGAATACATGAAGCCACGGCCTTTATCCTCCAATGTCTTGTTGGGTAGCACAGTCAAAAACAAACACAAAATGAGGCTCGTAGTCTCATCTGTAGATTTAAAGCTTCAGGAGGAAAAGCTGGCTTTAGTCATTTGAAACTACTTCTCATATTACATTAAGAAGGGTCTTCATCTTGCTCTCTGAAGATACTCTTTCTTCTTAAAAAAAATCCATTTAGGCATCAGCTGGAAACCCTTAGGGAAAATCACAGAATACGGTTTTCTATTAGGCAGCAGCTTTTACAGGCCAGTAGTATCAGGACACGACACAATATAAGGATCCCCATATGATATAATCCAAGGGCATTTATAGTTCTTCAGATATCTGAAAAGTGAGAAGTCAAGATGTAGCGCTCCCTGCAAATTTTAACAATTTACAAAACTGAATGGCAGGGTTTTTGGTTTGTTTTTGTTTTATAGTTGCAGTTAAAGAAGCTATGGAGTTAAAGAAACTTTTAAGAAGAATCAACAAAACCCTATTACTATAGTGTCCTTTCTTGTGGCCAATCACACTCCATTTTACACTGTATTTACATTTACATTTCCATTACCCACCTACCCCTTATTCCCAATGACTTTATGAGTCAGAAAAAAAACTGACTCATTAACTCTTGTATCTCCAGTATCCTACACAATGCCTGGTTCATTAAGAAGCACTAGAGGGGCGCCTGGGTGGCTCAGTAGGTTAAGTGTCCCACATCGGCTCAGGTCATAATCTTACAGTTGGTGGGTTCGAGCCTCACATCTGGCTCTGTGGACAGATCAGAACCTGGAGCTTGCATCAGATTCTGTATTTCCTTCTCTCTCTGACCCTCCCCTGCTCACGCTTAAATATTTGCCAAATAAATAAGCAAATGAGTATATGAGTAAATCCTACACAGTACTACTAAAGCAAATTGTTAGGAAAAACATGGAGCATTTCTTGATTTTTTTTTTGATGAAGATGACAGTTTTGCCATCTGACCACTGTCTTTACTGTTCCATTATATCTCTACAACTAGGGTTTCTTTATTGTCCACGTAAAAAGGCTTTTTCCTTTCTTTCTTTCTTTCTTTCTTTCTTTCTTTCTTTCTTTCTTTCTTTCTTTCTTTTTCTTTCTTTCTTTCTTTGTTTCTTTCTTTCTTTCTTTCTTTCCTTCCTTCCTTCCTTCATTATATGGCTTCTCTATCCATTTCAGAACTCATTAGAAGGTGACACAGCTAATGGAAATTACTCTCCTCACACTATACAAGATAGAGAGTAGACTGATAGTATATGTGCAGCAATGTGATGTTTTATAAAAAGTAAAAAAGAACTTTTATTAAGTGAGTGTCACTTAATTCTAGTTTAAAAATAATACTATAGTCTAGGGTTGCTCAATAAACATTCAATAATACTCATCAATCCAAGGTATTGTATGATGATAATACCTTTCTGTCTCTACTCAGGAGATGAGGTAATGTGTCTTTTGGGATGAGAGTACAATATAAACATAATGTGTGAGCTGGTAAAAGCTGTATCTTACTACTTACTTAAGCTACAATTCTAGTTACCTATTGCTGAGCAACCAACCATCCCCAAACCCGGTGGCTTAAAACAACATGGTTTGTTATTTTTCATGACTCTATAGATTAGGTGTATGGTTATTCTATTGGTCTTGCCTGGGCTTATATTCAGGCAGCTGCGTCCATCTGGCAGATTGGCTAGGAGCTAGCTCAGCTGAGACAGCTAGGATGTGGTGGAGAGGAGGTTGTCTCTCTTCAGCTCTTCAAAAAGTCTTTCGTTCTAGGCTTCTTCACACACCTAGTAGTCTCAGAGCAGTATTTGAGGGGGGAGAGGGTGATTGTGGAAGCTATGGTATCTTTTCAGGTCTAAGCTTTGGGTCTCAAATAATGTCACTTCTGCCATATTCTCGGATCTCCCTGAGCCTGCTTCCTGCTTCTTGCCCAAAGAAAGTTAGAAGCTCAGAGGCCTCTTTTCATGGTCAACCCCTATTGCGACCATCAGTCATTGGAAAGATTAAACGACTTCCTCATTTCCACTTTCTAAGCTATCCTATGACATCATGCCTCTGAGCTACATCTCAGTGTTGGAGTTGAAGACCCAGTTTGTGAACTATTCTTTTGTGCACAATAAACTCTAGCTAAATACTATATTACTCATCTGGTTTTAATTTTTACTGTCTCTGGATTTTGACAACTATAAAATAATACATGTGTGCTGTTTGAGCTGTTGAGTTTATTGTAATTTTTTATAGCAGCAATAGAAAATGCCACCTCCCATCAAAGACAGCTAAAAGAAGCTAATTGTTACTTTCTGTGTTCTACATGGAAATAACGTTAGTGAGATCAACAAGTTCATTAGGTATGTTTACTACCTTCCAAGGTACCATAGACAGTAATTAGTTGGTCCACCTCTGGTCTCCAGGAGCAATCTCCTCCCTGCTTTTCTAGCTTTCACTGACAGTCTCGTCTCAGCCCCTTCCAGCATTTACCTGCTGTCTGGCCTGAAGACTGCCATGTGATTTGGGTTTTATTAGAGCAATACTAATTTCTCCTACATTTATCTATTGCTTTGTACTTTAAATACCCACTTACGTTGAATTAACCTATTACTTTGTACTTCTGGTCCATCCCATTTTGGTTAATCTATTGCTTTGGAAGAACCCAGCATCCTAAAACTTAGAGACTGAAATGACAGTGTATTAATTTTCAGAAAGGTGCATTCAGCCAGTACTTCAGCTGCTGACTCAAGTCAGCTGAGAAAGCTGGGTTGGCTAATCCTCTCTCTCCAAACTCACTTTCATCCTGGGCATCTTCATTGAACTCAGTCTCAGAATAGTGCTCCCACAGGGCAGAGGCAGATGCTGCCAAGGCCTCGTGAGTCCCAAGTTTTGGAACAGGTACAAGGTTGTTTCTACCACTTTCTATTGATCAGAGCAAGTCATAAGGCCAGCCCACATTCAAGTAAGCAGACGGATAAATTGAGTCTCTTGATGGGAAGTGTGGCGTGTCACGTACAGAGGGGCATGAATGCAGGGGGGTCACTATATTATGACGCATCACGCTAAAACAATATTTGATGTAAGAAAAGCATTGAGAAAGACAAAGGAGAGTTCTTCAAGAAACACGATGCTTTGGGCAAGAAGTTTAATTTGAAATGTTAAAGTCCATGTAAGAAGTCTATTTTATGAATATCTATGCAATGTAAAGTATATTAATATTAAATATGTTATTGTAAGGGGTATAACTTCTTTCCTTGGTGCATAACAAAATAGTACCTCCACCTGGTCACCTTGATGCCTCCGTCTTTCTCCTCTGTGCTGGGGGAGCCCAGGCTTGGAGATCAATTACATCTGAATATGATTCTATATAATTTGAATTCAGTATCTCTAAATGGTGATCTTAGTTCAGTTAATTTAACTTCTCTATATCGCTTTTGTTTAATTAGTTTGTAAAACAAAAAAATAATACCAACTCATAGGATATTTATGATAATTAAATAAGAAAATGTATGGAATATAACTATCAGTGCCTGGCACATAGATATGCTATAAATATAAGCTTTTTTTTTTTTTTTTTTTTTTTTTACTATTCTCACTTTTTAACTCTATTGGAAGGGAAACCAAGGGATAAGCATCACTGAACTTATATGCTAGGAGTACAATATATATACATTTAAACACGACCCTGGAATGGGGAAGGCCCCTAAAGAACTCATATTTGTGCCTCCTCTGAAAATCCACAAATATATATATGTATATATATTAAGTAACCTCTAGGCCCAACATGGGGCTTGAACTCATTACCCAAGATCAAGAGTTGCAGGCTTTACTGACTGAGACAGCAGGTGCCCCTGAGTATGTTTAT